CTCGGCTGTATGACGAATTCCGCCATCCATATTGAAACTTTTTTAAAGGTCCCGGATGAAAATGGCTGCGCCCATGGAGATTTCTGTGGAGAGTGTATTATATCAACAAACGTCAAGTTTGGCATTGGGTTTGGGGAATTACCAGGGAATTATATTAAACCAGCAGCCTTGAGACAATATCTCTGCTTGTTTAGTTATATACACTCGACAAAAGACGCCTTTTTGGGACTTTTTTTGTAAAAGCGGCACGTTTTCCTGTTAAAGTAAACCGGTAGCCGCAACGCAAATGTATGGGCGTAGGTACATATCAATTACTATCATACAGCCGAGGTTAGATGTAGGGTACCGGAATCTGCCGAGGTTTGCCGAGTGACGCCATTCAGTGTGCCATGAGGGAAATTATGCCCGGACAGCTGCGCAATGGCCTACTCGTATATCGAATTCCACCTGCCAAGCGTTTGTTTGCGTGACGTGTACCACTGACTAGGAGAAACCACGTTGGACAAACCCGAGGAGGGCCTTCTCGACCTACACCAGGATGGAATACGAGACCTCCAGGTTATCAGATGGTTTAAAGTCTGTCATTGAGTCAATTGGCGTGGTTTCGATTCCACGCTTGTACATGACAAGTAATGGGGTCGCCTTTCCAACCTGGTGGTTTTTTTTCTCTGGTTTCCTCCCACTGCTAAAGGCCCCTACGATTTATTGAAATAAAATTGAACCATATATTAGTCCTGAAATGACCTAGTTTGTGTCAAGTGGCCTTTAAACCCCATCTCTCTCTCTCTCTCTCTCTCTGTCTCTCTCTCTCGAATCTTACAAACCCACACTATTTCTCAAATACATCGATTGCCGATTTCAGAGACAGATACCTTAACAATGGTGTTTCCGTCCAAGAACGACAATATAATTCGGTTTAAAAATGACCCCCCCCCCCACTCTCTCTCTCTGTCTCTCAACCCGTCTGGGGGGGGGGGGGGCGTCTAGGGGGGTGGGGGTGGATGGCTGAATGGTTAGTGTGCGCGCGCTGTATCATAAAGTCTGTCATTGAGTCGACTGGCGTGGTTTCGAATCCCCGGTTGTACGTGACAAGGAGTAGGGTCGCCTTTCCAACCTCGTGGGTTTTCTCCGGGTCCTCCGGTTTCCTCCCACAGTTAAAGACCCCTATGCGCAGGCGAATTATGGAAATAAAATTAAACCATGTGTTTTTTTTTTTTAAACAATATTTTTATTCAGGATGTCTGAATGGGATTGGGGAACAGGCTTAGCCTATGTAAAACCCCGCTCCCTAAATAATTTGTATATATATATATATATATATATATATCATTAATACAAAAATGTGTGTATATACATAGTTATAATGGCAAACACATACCTATTATATAAGCAAAATAAAATATAATGGGTGAAAATGTACAGTATATATAGTAATTAATAATTATACATATACAACCATAGTAAGAATTTATTAATAATAGGCAACATTAGAGAGACTAGCTAATATTATACATAAAATAGACGATAAAATATTAATTGATCGAGTTTAAAATCTGTTTGACATATCTATAAACTTATGGACCTGGTTAAAAATATTAGTGTTAACGTCAAGACTGTAGTTTGTGGGACCGAATAAAAGACAGTTTATATTTTTAAAATCATGTTGTAATTTGTCTATGGTTTCTGTTCGTGCATTTGAATGTAAGGAACATCGCAGAAGGTAATGGCCGGGATCTTCAAATATATGACCGCAGAAGCACGCGGGGCTGTCGGCAACATGTCTTAGTCCCGAAATGACCTAGTTGTGTCGAGTGGACGTTAAACCCCATTTCTCTCTCTCTCTCTCCCTCAACCCGTCTAATCTAATGTTTAATTATTCGTCAGCTTATTATACGCTACAGTGTAACACAACATAGACAAAATTTGATATAACTTTCACACTAGACCTGTACAATATCAATGTCAATTACCTGATATTATGTAATCAATAATTAGATATATCGAGTAGGATTTTATTGTAAAGGTGCAACGTAATTAAGTTTAACATGAAATATTATATAATTAAATGATTACTTGTAACCAGTTGAAGTGATTTAATCCTCAAGATAGACTATTATGTAAGTATTAATTACTTGCTTGTATAAGCTGGGTTCCGCCTCCAGGTAAAATGATCAGGGGCTATAGTGTAACATGTATGTAATTAGAGTTAGAATAATCATTATCTAGTTTATTGTGTCTGAATGGTATACTGCGATTCTACTTTAAAGGGACATTCACAACAATTTTCGGTTAATGGAACTTGGATTCAAATCATTTAAACTTTCAGCATCGACTGGGATAATGAACAGGATCATACGCCATATAGCGTTCTATGAGGGAAATTTTGCCCGAACAGCAATTGAATTTTAATTGGGTTATTTCACGAGCACGCCAATGTGTACATGGGACCCCGGTTTTCGTACCATCCGAACGACTAGACAGTTTTCCTTGCCAGGCCCTCGTCCTGCATCGTTGACATGGGGAAATCCGGTAAGTGGGCTTGCGCCTTCCCCACTGAGCCACCGTGGCTTTCAATACAGAAAAGAAATGAAATGAAATGAAGTGGAGTTCAATGGCTTACTCTTGTTAAGAATCCCAACTGTCAAGGGTTCTTTTACGTGCACGTCAATGCGTACACGGGATCCCGGTTTTCACCCTATACCCTTTTCCTTGACAGACCCTTCGTCCTGCATTACTGACAAGGCGAACTTTCTCAACCAACACCAGAATCGGACTTACTGGTTCATGAGCTAGCATCATCTTCGCTTGGCCATCGTGGCTCCAGATATAATCTGCATCATGTTACCTATGTTATATGGAGTCAAGGTGTATCACCATGTTTATCCCCAGTTGTACGTGACAAGGAGTGGGGTCGCCTGCCCAACCTCGTGGGTTTTCTCCGGGTCCTCCGGTTTCCTCCCACTGCTAAAGACCCCTACGCACAAGCAAATTATTGAAATAAAATTAAAACCATATGTTAATCCCGAAATGACCTAGTTTGTGTCGAGTGGACGTTAAACCCCATTTCTCTCTCCCTTTCTGTTACCCATGTAACATAGAGTCAAGGTGTATCACCGTGTTTATGTCAACCTATATAATTTATTCATATAGCTCTAGGCAGCGTAATTAATATAAACATGTACACGACATGCTCACCCCATGTAAACATTACTACAAAATCTCAGTTTTATAAATTCACAGATGTAAATAGTTTATCTATGTTCAGATAATTTCATGAAATACTATCAGAATATGACGTGATAAATAAGACTATTTTTAGGCCTACCCATTTTAGAAGGGAAATGGACAATAACCATGCTCTTTATGTCAAACAAATTATAAATGGGACTGGTTTATTTATCGTCTCTACCAGATGGGGAATTTATAATTCATCATTATTATCTTTGTAAATCTGAATGGAATAAGACCACTTTTGAACTGATATTCCTTTTAGGGGATTCGACTTCTACAATATTATAGCTTGCCAGGGGTCCAAAATCCTTCAATTAATGAACAGCGACTTTGGAAGATTCATACAAAACTGAAAGCATGGTGAAGTGCGGACTTTATCAATAGAGATATTTGTGACTGTCGTTTGTCTGTTTGGGGTTGGCGGCTACACTAGGATTGTCCCGAGGACCGGGGAGAAAAACAAGTCTGGTGGTGATGGTCTGCCACTTGTTTGTTTAAAACGAAAACAAAATAGTACACTAACTTCGTGTTCAGAATGGTACGGGAGGCTCGGTTTTGCGTCCCATCCGAAGAATTGTATATTGACCGTTGCCATGCACTTCGCCCTACATCAATGACACCTGAGGCACCACGCCGGAAAATCCAGATGAACTTTATCTGCCAATACTGAGATGGAACACGAGATCACGGGACCATCAGGTTACCGAGCCAACATCTTACTCGAGAGAAATACCAGATGTACGTTTAATTACTAAATAATCAGTAGGAGACCTACTAAAACAACGATAGGTATTACCAAGATAATGTTCATTCTGAGTTGTTTCTATTTGAAGACTCATCGTCGTCAATTTGATAATTTACAGGCTAGTATCATGACTAAAACTTATCAGTTTGTTACTGCTGTCAATCCATCTTGGGTTAGTATCTGCTTAATTTTTAATTCATATAGAGTTTAAAAATACACGATATGTGTTCTGAATTTAAATTTAGTAGAAAAAAAATTCTATGTTTTGAAATATAGGTTAAGTTCAGATATCTGGGATCTGAAAGAACAGGGTGTGCTTTAAGTATTCTCTCTTGAGTTTGATAATTTCCAGACTTACAAACTGTTATCTTAGTTTTATCATTAGCCATATGAGAGAGAGAGAGAGAGCGAGAGAGAGAGAGAGGGGGGGGGGGGGTAACCTCCACTCAACACAAATTTGGTCATTTCAGGACTAACATATAGTTCAATTTTATTTTAATAATTCGGTGGCGCGTACGGGTCTTAATATTTAGCGGTGGGGGGGGGGGGTGGCAGAGGACGCGGAGAAAACCCACGAAGATGGACAGGCAAGTCTATTTCTTGTCAAGTACAAGCGAGGAATTGAAACCACGTCACGTGATTCATTGGCAGACCTTATGATCTAAAGCGCAGGTCTTAAAAAATTTGGCCACGTTTTCCTGGATAACGAACATGTGTAGGATTTGGTGTTATATTACTGGGAGAGGAATAATTCGTTTTAAGTCAGACGTTGGCTGAACCGAAACGAAAAGTGCATGTAAAAGAACCCTTGGCAGTTGGAATTCGATATAAGAGTAGGCGATAGCGCCGCTGCCCGGGCAAAATTTCCCTCATAGCACACTGTATGGCGTATGCCCGTCTTCATTAGCCCAGGTTAGGAGCAGAACAGTAGGACGTTAAACCCCATTTCATTTCATTTCATTTCATAACATGCAAATGCAGCTACTGTAGCCGTAATACATAACAAACAAATACAGCTACCGTATTAGAAGTAATAAAAGTTTTTATGTACATTTTATCAAGATTTGACCTAGATAAACCTAGGATTGGCTTCTAACAACAAAAACAGATATACTACAGTAAGTTATATGTCACGTCATAAAAACATCACATTATACTATGACCTCAATGACCCCAAGTAGTGTATAAATATGTCTGAAGGCTTGCATATTTCAGTTATATTATCATATTAGTCAAAATGTCGCGTACAGCACTCATCCTTCAGTTAATAGCATACATTAGTGAAGCATTGAATATCAAATTTAAGTTTAAATTCAAAAGTAGTATATCTATCGATAAATTTATATATAGTTGCTGAAAGTCTAATATTTTAAAGCCACTGGTTGTTTATATATTGAATATACTACATTGTGAAATTTGGAACTCTGACAGGAATATTAGTCTAAAAATTGTTAAAGGTTTTTTTGTTTTTTTTTTGCATAGCAACATTTTGTACTGACGTCTTTCTTCATGACCATCAGTCAAATTTATGATAAAGGATTTTTGCCAAGACAGCGGCGCTACAGCCTCCAACAATTTTGAAGGGATCTTTCAGTTGCTGCAAATGCCCCACCCACCCCGGTTTTCGTCCCATCCCAACAACTAGGAAGTTTTTCTTGCCAGATCCTTCGTCATGCACCACTAAGATATCGTGAGAAACATTCTAAGACAAAATCCAGAGCCTTAGGCCTACTTCGCGAACGACCACGTAACACAAGTAATAGAACCTACAAGGCCTAATACAACACACGTAATAGAAACTACATGTCTAATAATACAGTTAAAGATTAAACAAAATCAAATGAAGAGCCCTGGGGAAGAACGAGCTAAGTCACTTTTTTCAACGAACCCCAGTTAATGGCGCCATCTGGTAGCAAATTGTATAACATCGGTGAAGTGTCAAAAGGGTGTATCTCGGGAAATTGGTCCAATACACTTTTTTGCATTTTTAAAATCTCCCAATTAATATGCACATTTCTGTCTAAGCTGTGTATCTCTACGCCATTTATTAGATCTGTTCTGGGTATCATGTGTCCAAATGTTGTATCTTGATTTGTGGAAATTTTGAAATGCAAAAGGTTCTATTTCTTAATCTTTAGAAATTCTTAGATACACCCTTTTGACACTTTACCGACGATAAGCTTTCTGTGGAACAATCAATTTCAGGTAAAAACGATCAGGGTCACATCGAACCAAGGCCCTTCTGAAATGGCCTCCCGAACAAATACAAATCCACCGTATTTATTTGACCTTAATTTGGCTGAAAAGTGGAAGTAGTTATTGTACTGGTAATTATGATTCGTATTGAACATCATTTTGAAGTTGTAATTAAACCCACTCGTTGTTCTGTTCGCGTCAAACATTCTCGTCCAAAGTCTGTTTTGCCTTTTATGCGAAAAGACAAAAATGTGACGTAGATCGTTCTTCCCCTGGACTCTTCAAACGTAAAAGGTCGAGTAAATCATTAAAATCTAATATAAAAGTTTAAAGTTGCTAGTATCAAAACAAATAGCTATATAAAAATGATAATCAGCGGATATGAGCAATTTGGGGATGATTATTGATAATATGGTCGTCATAGCAATAAGATCAAAATGGCACCTTATGGTCCTAATAAATACGAAACACAAAATAGTTCATGGTTTCTCTTAGAATTGTTTACTTTTTAAGGTGGGCATTTTACCCCAATGGAAAATAAAATGAAATGAAATGGGATTTAACATCCTTCGTTTCTGCAACAGAGAGAGAGAGAGAGAGAGAGAGAGAGATTGGGTCTAAACGTCAAAAACTAGCGACCCAACTCCTTATCACATACAACCGGGGAATCGAAGTCACGCCATTTGACTCAATGACTGGGCTGATGAAGAAGTGAGCGACCATAGAAATGCATTATGCAATTATGCTTTCCGTTATCTAAAATAACACTTTAATCAAATCGATATTTTATCAATTTGATCACGGTTCAGTTGAGAAATGAAATGCGTCATAATATGCAAGACATATTGTTAACAAGTATATAGGCTACAAGCGTACAACATGAACAAGAAATTACGTCATCGCAGTCATCTTAGAATTATGACGTCAAAAATCGAAGTCGGTGAATCGATGCGCATTAGTCCAACGAACAAGCATGCCATGTTTCATGTCGACGAATTAGCAGAAATGAAATGAAATGAAATGGGGTTTAAGGTCCTACTGTTCTGCTCCGACTGGGTTAATAAAGACGGGCGTACGCCATGCAGTGTGCTATGAGGGAAATTTTGCCTGGGCAGCAGCACTACGGCCTACTCTTATATCGAATACCAACTGCCAAGGGATCTTTGCGTAGACGTCAATGTGTAGCCTACACGGAACCTCGGTTTTTCGTCAAATCTGAATGACTAGACAATTTTCCTCTGTCCTACATCACAGACAAGGGGAAACCACGTCGAAAACGAATTAGCACAGCCTTAGTCTTTTTTTCGAACCAGGTGTTCCCAAGAATACGATTACCAAGCGCGTTCTACGTTCTTCTAATAACGATTAAGGCAGACTTGTTCCTAGCAACGGGACTGATTCTTGGTCCAAATCATTATAAAATATCCATACAATAGAATTACGTGTTATTTCGTTTCGGAAAACTGTTTCTCAAAAGTGGCAAATTAGAAAAATGTATGTCAGTCATCGTCCATTTGTGACATTAAGAAGAAGAACCACCACACAGTGAATACAAGGCAATACTTCAACGGATTTGTATACTTCTTAGATCGTTTCGTTTCGGAAAGCTGTTTCTCTAAAGTGAAAAATTAGAAAGATGTATGTCGGTCACCGTCCGTTAGTGACATTAAGAAGAGCCACCACACAGTAAACACAAGGCGATACTTAAATAGATGTTTAAACAATGTCTTTATAAAGGTCTAAAATGTGTTTATGGGTAATTTAATTGACTACTACAGTTTAAGAAACTACGAAACGGTGGGAAATCACTGGATGTTTATTTGTGAATTGAAATAACTCTGGGCTAGTTTTCAAATATTTGTTGAATATACCACCACTAATGTAAGAATTTGACAAGGAGTAGGGTCGCCTGCCCAACCTCGTGGAGGGGGGGGGGTCTCCGGTTCCCTCCCACTGCTAAAGACCCCTACGCCAAGCGAATTATTGAAATAAAATAGAGCCGTATATTAGGTTAGTCCCGAAATAACCCCTCTCTCTCTCTCTGTTATGTAATAATTGGGTAGTCATTGTGAGTAAGGCGCTGGTCCACTAACTAGAACGGTCCGAGTTCGACCCCGGTGTTGGTCAGGCAGCGTTTTCTGTATCCCCTGGTCAGCGGTGCAGGTCCCGTGCACGTGTAAAAGAGCCCTTGACAGTTGAACGAGAAGGACAGCATACTGTATGGTACATGCCCATTTTCAATATCCCGGTTGGTGCAGAAAAGTAGGACGTTAAACCCCATTTCGTTACACTAATGTAGGAAAAACATGATACAATTATCCATTAAAACAATAACATAACGATTCTATAATGGCCGCCATACTATCCAGTTATGCTTGTCATGCTTATTTATTCAAAATATGCTGACTTAGAAAATTACATTTAAACAAAAATTACATTAAAGTCATATATTTGTCTGTCTGTTCGATGTTGGCGGCTATACTAGAGCTGCCCTGAGGCTGAATTTGGGGTATATAAGGACTGCTTGATCCGAAGAGTGACATCCCGGTGACGTTGCACTACCATATCGGGCTAGGAATTAAACTACTTCTGGTTCGGGGGGTTAAACCTTTAGTTATTCATATAAATGTTAATGAACCGTTACGAAAAGGGACTAATCTAGGAAAACGAATATAAAGAAATTAATTATGCTTCATCCATTATTAAAACAATAACATAACATTATCTAATTCTACAAGAGTGGCCAACCTTACCTATATTTCAAGTTAGTATGCATATCACAATAAATACATCTCTCTCTCTCCCTCTCTCTCTCTCTCTCTCGGTCTGTGTTGTATTGTGACTACATCAAACTACACTGAGCCACCGCGGATACCATTTATAAAATAAAGACAGTATGTACTAATATCTCTCACAAAACGTTCTCAGACTTAAGTTAAGAGTTTAGTCAAATTTTTTCGCCTTATTTAAACTAAAATATAGCCCTTTATAAAACCTTTGCTGTTTTAATGTATCAAATACATGAATAAGAAGTTTTGTGTCTCTAGATTAAAGATATTTCTTATAAACAGTGATTGAAAGTTGAGTAAATTCTTAACTTAAATCTGAGAATGCTTGTGTGGAGTGGTCGTTACCCCCCCCCCTCTCTCCCTCTCTCTCTCTCTCTCTCTCTCTCTCTCTCTCTCTCTCTCACACACACACACACACACACACACACAGATCGCCCTGTCACACTCTATATAAATCAAGCTGTTGTTATTAATCCATAATTCAATCGATTCCCTAATAACTGTAAACATTATCAATAATAACCAACCAGGTGGCCATATGTCTCCATTATATTGGATCCCATTAATAACACCTCTATCACTGAAACTATTATTAATGTAACATATTTCCCATGACATGGTCTCACGGTCTTTTGTTCTGTACCTATTCACTTTGTGATATTTGCATATTGTTACGTTCCTTGCATATTTTCCATTTAATTAATTTATTATCTCAGCAGTGCATAATAACGCTACACGTATTACACATCGGAACATCGTCATATGTATCCATTCAATTATTATATCAGGAGTATATTTTCCATTTAATTAAATTCTTATATTAGCAGTACATATTGTTATTATTAACGCTACACGTATCCCATATCGCATCCATTGATTTCATTAACAGTGCATATTGTTATTATTAACGTCACACGTATCCCACATAACATCATCTTGACATCATTACATTCATTAGCAGTGTGTATTGTTATTATTAACGTCACACGTATCCCACATCACATCATCTTGACATCATTTAAATTCATTAGCAGTGCATATTGTTATTATTAACGTTACATATTTCATCATGGTACCATGGTAGCAGTTACTACATATTGTTATTATTAACGTTACATATTTCATCATGGTACCATGGTAGCAGTTACTACATATTGTTATTAATAACGCTACGAGTATCCCACATCGCATCCATTACATTCATTAACAGTGCATATTGTTATTATTAACGTTACATATTTCATCATGGTACCATGGTAGCAGTTACTACATATTGTTATTATTAACGCTACACGTATCCCATATCGCATCCATTACATTCATTAACAGTGCATATTGTTATTATTAACGTTACACGTATCCCACATAACATCATCTTCACATCAATTAAATTCATTAGCATTGCATATTGTTATTATTAACGTTACATATATCCCACTTCATCATGGTACCATGGTAGGCTACATATTGTTATTATTAACGCTATAGATATCCCACATCGTAGCATCGCTATATATGCATCAATTACGTTCATTAGCATTATATGTATCCCATATCACAACATCTCTATATGCATATATTAAATTATCCCATCCGAATATGAATATATTTGCATATATTAAAATATTATGCATGATTAATTAATAATTTCTGGATTAATTAAATATTTCTATCAGAGTCCATTTATACGTTCATTCATATTAACATCGGGTTGTTTAAGCTGGATTATTTGTTCATATGCATTGAGATTATCATCGTCCTCCTTGGGTAAAAATCGAGGTAAAAATATATGAGATGCTCCTGGTCCGGGTTTTACATTATTGGCATTATGGTCCACGGTAAGTCCATTCACTAGAACGTCCTGTCTCTTGTTGCTAAGAATATCCAGTTTTGTAGTCGTGTAGGTCTTGGCTTTGAATTCCACACAGGTTTTGAACCATTTTCGACACTCATCAATATGGTAGTCTAATAATGATACGTATGATTTCTCGGGTCGTTTCGGGTAAATGAAAATCGTATCTGAAAACTGTCGCGGTTTCACACGCGGCTCGTAGAAAGTCTTACTCACGTATCGCTTCCTCGTTGAGTCCTTATAACAGATCATTGTGTCTGCAAAATGCACCGGAGCTAACACGGGAGCCAAATTCACCTTGTCGTTGAACCTCCGCATGGACGAGATGTCGATGGCGCTTGAGACAGTCCTCTCCTCGTAGTTAGGCAGTTGTACGACTGCCACACTCTCCGATATTTGTATTGGGAACATTTTCGCTTCACAACCAGTCACATACGTATTCAAACCTGTCTGCTTATTAATCGCTAGATTTTCCTTCTCACCCAACAGGTTTATTTTTAGCGCTCGTTTGTCTCGGTCGAGCGACGATGTCTTTCAAATAAATCTGGATATCCAAATAAGTCCGGCGATCCTATAGAAAAAAAGACAATAACAGTGGTATGTATTAGCAGTGACATATGTATATATAATATTATGTAGGGCCTATTCTATAAGCATAGAGCGCGAGATATGGTTCTTTCCCCCTAGTAACGTATTGATCCATTCGTCAGAGATAACCTCTAAATGTCATGCGCAGATAAAACATATAGCAGACGACACGTGCACATTTTATTTCAACATACGTATCTAGTTTATTTGGTTATCTCGACCAGGGGTGGAGTCAATTCGAGTAATATGGATTTCATTCAACATAAAAACACAATGGAGGCCTTTGTTTGAATTTAAAAAGCTCTAACAACCATTATAGAAGCGAGTCCTCAGTCAATAACATTTATCAGTTTTCAATGATAGGCCTGAATAAAAGTTTGAGGTGTATTTTGATACTAATCCGCCGCGGATTAGCATGACATTATAAGTCGTAACTCGGTGATAAAAACAACGATTATATGTTAAACATGTGATCTATGGTGTCAAAGGGTTGGTTCGTGCCATGAACTGGAAAGAAGTTTGCCGACTCCTTGAGACATATCGTAATTATTATGTCTACGATAAGAGGGGGTGGAGGTGGGGGTGGCCGAATAGTTTAAAGGTCCGTCATTAAGTCAAGTGGCGGGATTTCGACAAGGAGTAGGGTAGTCTGCCCAAACTCGTGGTTTTTCTCCGGGTCCTCCGGTTTCCTTCCACTGCTAAAGACCTCTACGCGCAAGCGAATTATTGAAATAAAATTGAACTGTATGTTAGTCCCGAAATGACCTAGTTTGTGTCGAATGAATGTTAAATCCCATTTCTCCGAATATGTGTACAATGCGTGGTAGGAGAATTTTGCCAAGACAGCTGCGTTTCTGCTTACTTCAGGTGTTGGCCGTGAAAGTTCCCAGGGATTTTCCAGCATGATGTACTCCTTGCCAGCGATGCAGGACGGAGGGCCTGGTCGGGAACAGCGTGGAGTTGATAGAGAGAGAGAGAGAGAGAGAGAGGGGGAAGAGAGAGAGAGAGAGAGGGGGGAGAGAGAGAAATGGGTTAAACGTCCACTCGACAAAAACCATGTCATTTCGGAACTAACACATTATTATAATAATTCGCTAGCGCGTAGGAGTCTTTAGCAGTGGGAGGACTCTGTAAGAAAAAACACGAGATCGAACAGGTGACCCTGCTCCTTGTCACGTTGGGGTTGGATGGCCGAATGGTTAGCACGTGCGCTGTACCATAAGGCCTGTCATTGAGTCAACTGGCGGGGTTTCGAATTATCCCCGGTTGTATGTGACAAGGAGTAGGATCGCCTGTCCAACAATAATAAAATAAATTAAACCATATGTTAGTCCCGAAATGACCTAGTTTGTGTCGAGTGGACGTTAAACCCCATCTCTCTCTCTCTCCTTGTCACGTACAACCAGGGTATTGAAACCACGCCAGTTGACTCAATGACAGACCTTTTGATGAGTAGTCGAAAATGCCACTGTCCGGGCAAAATTACCCTCTTAGCACACTGCATGACATATCTCGTATCTTCATTTTAATTTCTTCAGTAGACATGAGCCACGATGGCTAAGTTGGTAAGACGCTGGCTCGCTATAGCCTGGATGTCGGGTGTTCGATCCCTACATCAGTCGAGAAAGTTCATCGGAATTTTCCGGCGTGGTTCTCCCGTGTCAATGGTGCAGGACGGAGGGCCTGACAAGGGCAGCTGTCGAGTCATTCGGATGACACGAAACACCGAGGTTCCGTGTATACATTGGCGTGTACGTAAAAGACCCCTTGGCAGTCGGAATTCGATATAAGAGTAGGCCATAGTGCCGTTGCCCGGGCATAATTTCCCTCCTAACACACTGTATGGCGTATGCCCGTCTTCATTAACCCAGTCGGAGCAGAACAGTAGGACGTCAAAGCCCATTTCATTTCATTTCTTCAGTAGGCACAATGAAATTATATATCCAGAAAAAAATAATATAATTTATCAAAGACATTCCACGCTGTGTGAATATCTACTTCCTCACGTATGAGAGAATTTAAGATTTACCCAATTTCAAATTTACAAAGACAACATGTGAATACAGATGTTTTTGTTTGGTATATGAGTCAACAAGACACTAGGATAATCATGATCATATTTCTACAACACATGGTGCCACACCTATATGAATCTGCTGTATTCTAGTTCTTGAATTTTAAGAGCTGACATTGACGAATGTGTCTACTGAAATATGAATTTTACATATAATGGCGAGTAAGACGTTCACAAACCAGGAGTTCCATGAGGAATTGCCGTGGATCTCCCTCATAGCACCAGGTCTCACGAGAGGGTGGTGCAGCCATTGAATATCATGCATGAATTTTTTATTGTTGTTGGTTATATGTAGAAAAGTTTTCGCTTTATCGCAATCAGCTAGTGAATCATCTAGATATGACTAGTGTTGGAAAGGGGCGGGGGAGGGGGGGGCAAAAACGGTCGCACCCCAGCACATTTTTCCTCTCAAGAGCCTTGCATAGTACACACTGCACATTCTGCACACAGACAACTATCTACTTCGAGAAAGGATCTCTGACCTAAATGGCCGCCATATCTAAAGATTACTATACTATTTTGTAATGTGGTTCTACTCCGTTTCATATCTTCCATAGACACAAAGAAATAAAATGAAATGAAATGAGGTTTAACGTCCTACTGTTCTGCTCCTAACCTGGGCTAATGAAGACGGGCATACGCCATACAGTGTGCTATGAGGGAAATTTTGCCCGGGCAGCGGCGCTACGGCCTACTCTTATATCGAATTCCAACTGCCAAGGGATCTTTTACGTGCACGCCAATTTGTACACAGGACCTCGGTTTTTCGTCCCACCCGAACGACTAGACAGCTGTCCTTGTCAGGCCCTCCATCCTGCATCACTGACAAGGGGAAACCACGCCGGAAAATCTGGATGAACTTTCTCGGCCAATGCAGGGATCAAACACTCGACCTCCAGACTAGCCATAGACACAAAGAGTACATAAACCTTTTCAATGATATTTAATTGAAATGGAGAAAATATTTCTCAGAATTATCGAAGTATAGTTTTCGATTAAATTTGAAATCGTCGATTTAGGAATTAAAATGTCGGTCAACTAACTTAGTGCCTATTCGGAAGCGGAACTAATTGTAGACAAATCGTGTCAGTTAAGTATGCACACTCTATTGCGTATACCCATCTTCATTAGCCCGGTTGATGTAGAAAAGAAGGACGTTAAACCCCATTTCATTTCATTTAAAATCCTAATTATCGTCCAAGAACACCGCCCTCAACGAGAGTTAAAGGTACCATTCTCAATTATTTTGTTGTTCACTTCTGACTTTCAAAAACTAAACTCTGAAATATATCCGGAACTGTTCTAATTATCGTTCAAGAACAACACCCTCCAAGCTATAAATTCAAGGTTTCATTTCTTAAGTTTTTGGGAAGTTCACGTTTTTGTTATGCAGTCCTGGCTAACAAGAAACAAACTCCACGATAACAAAGGGTATAGGGGTGTTTTAAATGTCATCTGTTAAGCCTTCTCCCATTTTTCAAACCCACGCGGAGTAATGTCATACTAACTGGTTTACAGTTTTAAAGGCCAACATCACATTTTGTCTACAATATTGTGTTTAAAATGTGGTCATTTGGGCAAGCGAGGTACCATGCATCCTTAATAATCTCTTTAGATGTTGATGGAGAGACCAATAGAATTAATAGAAAGAAACTAACATCTAATTTTAATTGTTTTAAATTTAACGTCAACTAGTTATTGGACTCTTATTCTTTATTTCGTTCCATTAAATCTTCCGGTGGATCACGTGGCTAAGTGGGTAAGACGCTGGCTCGCTAGCCTGGAGGTCGGTTGTTCGATCCCTGCATTGGCCGAGAAAGTTCATCCAGATTTTCCGGCATGGTTTCCCCTTGTCAGTGATGCAGGACGGAGGGCCTGACAAGGACAACTGTCTAGTCGCTCGGATGGGACGAAAAACCGAGGTCCGGTATACATATTGTCGTGAACGTTGGAATTCGATATAAGAAGCTTCTTCCTGTGTATAAGAATACGATATCGCAATCTTTCCATTTGCAGCCTCTGGACATGGGTTGATTCATTGGGAAGTTCTTACAAAGCATAACGTTTGGTAGTAGATTATTAGTACGTAAGTTCACGGGGTGTCTTGTTTAAGTACCAAAAGAAGATATTAACAAGCTTGATATCTATAATGTCTATGATAACATGGTGGCCTGGTCGGGACATGTGGTTAACATAAAAATTACAAAATGTAAAAAATGTCTATGATGTATGAAAAACATCCAACCTTTAAGGTTAAAACACGCTCTTCTATCATCTCAGTATGTAACCAAGTAATTCATTAATTTTTGTATACAATAATGGCGCTATTCTTTTAAGATTAATTACAAGTTTATCCATCACTCTTCACTTTTTTTCGAGGGGAGCTATAATCCAATTAAAACTGTCAAGGCTTCTTAAACGTGCACGATAACGAACACACGGCGAACGCGAATGACTAGACACGTTTTGAGCCCTTGAACCCCCCACCCCACCCCCGAGACTCCTGTAATTATGGGGTGGGGTTTAACATCTCGTCATCGAAATACTTTGGTCGTTTTGAGACTAACATATGGATATTGTTATTGTCACATGTGCAAATGCTATGGAGAGAGAGAGAGAGAGAGAGAGAGAGAGAGAGAGAGAGAGATGGGCTTTAAAGCCCACTCCACACAAACCGGGTTATTTCTGGAGTAACACATGGTTCAACCTTATTTCAATAATTCGCTTGCGCATAAGGGTCTTAAGCAGTGGGAGGAAACGGGAAGACCCGAAGAAAACCCACAAGGTTGGACAGGCAACCCTACTCCTTGTCTCGTACAACCGGGAAATCGAAACCACCTTATGATATAACGCGCACGCGCTAACCAATCGTTCCCCCCTCCCCTCCTGAGAAAACCCGTGGGACTGGACATGCTAACCATTCGGCCACCCCCGCCCCAAAATGCTTTGGACGAAAGTTTTTTTCAGGATAGCAGTGTCCAGTTGGAACTGTCAACGGTTCTTTTACGTGCTCGCGGAATTTTGTCCCATTCGAAGGGATGGACAACATGTTGCTATAAATCGAACCGGGCTTGAAAATATGTGCCAGTTAAGATTTCATACGAAAGATTTGCATCAGCCTCGCGAAAATTGTTTGGCCGAGGCACACAACACATCATTCATTCTGCGTAGCGCACTTCCTTACTTGTAAATTGATGTTTGAATAACTTCTAACTTTCCTATTCACGTACCACACACCCCTCTAACATGGAAAAATAGGACGTTAAGCCCCCTTTCATTTCATTTCTTGAAACAAGGTCGATGTCAAAACTTTTAACGTATTACCCATAACCTAGATACTGATGTCGACAATTTGCTGAATAAAGTAATTTAATAGAAATAAATGTTCCTACCTTTTTTCTATATCCTTGTCTTAAACGCAAGGTAGTCGTCTCGTCTTAAACATGTAGTGTATTGATGGGCTTACGACCGCCTACTGAATGACAGATCACTTTTATGTTGTTTTCAGCTGTGTGCAAGTCTTATCTCGAGGGGTGTGAATCGTACAGAGCTCTAGTATAAAGAACCCATATAAAAACTGTGAATAGGTAAAGGCCCTCATTATGTAATGGTACAATGGTATGTTAAGTAGTTGTCGTTGTTATTTGTTCCTAGTCTATATAATAGATTATTTTTTTTTAATTCTCCCGTGCAGAGGCGGTGTATTGAGTATTTGACCTGATTTAAACTTATCATATATATTATTATGTGCACAAGTTTATAGATTTATTTTAAAGCTGCATTATTCAAGAGCTAATATTGCAGGTTTTTATGATTTAATTTAAAAATGGAGAAGCTAGGCTGAGTCTAGATTAACAAGTTACGTTATGTAGGTAATAAACAATATTTGCCACATTCTGTCAATACGTCAAATAGTGATAACTTGGCTCAGAATAAAGTAATTTGAATGAAGGTTTCATTATATTAATTTAAAACTATAATAGCAAGAACGGTTAGCCCGAAATGATTAGCGTTTGCGCATTGTATCATAAGGTCTGTTATTGGGTCATCTGACGTGGTTTAGATTCCCCGGTTGTTCGTGACAAGCAGTAGAGTCGCCTGTCCACTCTCGTGGGTTTTCTCCGGGTTCTCCGGTTTCCGTCCATTGCCAAAGACCCCCTACGTGCAAGCGTATTACTGAAATAAAAAATGAACCATGTGTTAGTCCCGAAATGACTTGGTTTGTGTCCCATTTACACTGTTTTGATCTAACACGTGCGATTTAGGTCCAGAGACTGTCATAGAGTCAAGTCAAAAACGTTGTCGCAGCAGTCTAGTTTGGTTGCGGTGTCCAACTGTCAGGGATCTTGAAAGTGCTACGATTGGCATACCCGGGACGCTATTCCTTTCCATGCCCCCGGGTTCCGCCCCCAGCCTCTGCTTCACTGACACAGGAGCCTTCATGACATTACCGGGATTAGATACATAGGCCCCGCGACAGGGCACTCAGGGACTTGGGACAAGCAACTCTGTGAATGGGGCCAACGGCGCGAATGCCCGGGCAGGTGGCTTATAGTTTCTATTACACCAGTTTTTCCCACTAGGTATCGATTTCTTCTACTATACAATCAAGTAATATACTGTATTTTTTTCGTTAATCTGCACCAATAATTTTTATAAAACAACAACCGTTACTCGGCATAGCTCCAGGCTCCTCCAGGATTCGCGCCCCTGGACAAGCAAGTGTCCCAGCTGCCCCCCCCCCCCCCGACGGGCCCTGCACACACGTGGCACGAGTGACCACCTACTTCGTGAGCCAGCTCCATTTGGTTTAACTTGTGGTTTATTTAGATGTTTAAACATACATTATGCAAGAGCTAAATCTGCCTGTTGCAGGTCTTTCTTTAGTTAGACATTAATTAACTTATCCAAACCATAATCAACTCTCGATGTCATCGCTAGCCTGGGATATTTACTGGATTAGGTTCCGGTCTGCTGCTCCACGCTCATTCATGATTAAATCAAGAAATGGATAATCGAGACTATGTGGGTTTTTATTATCGTACCAACTTTAGTAATGGTGATTTTGGCTAGGCCCAAAATTCAATCGCTAAATTCTCGGTTCAGAGTGGATCAATTTGACTGAAATTTTCAGCAAATTCGCTTTACATTATCTAGTTTTAACTATTATAGTGGGAACTGTCAGCTCTCATCTAATCTCCACCGAGGTGATATCGCAGACAAAATCTCGTTCGTTCGTTCTTGGTGTTTAACGTCTGCTTCCACATAAGTGATATCGCAGACAAGACATAGGAGAGCCGAAGCTGTTTTTTAGAATATGATTTTGCAATCTTTCCATTTGGCCTTAGGCCATGGATTTGGTTTAGTGGGAAGTTCTTCCCTTTATTTAATATAAAACATATCGTTTGGTAGATGATCTCGTCTGCTTCTGGATTGGTAGATGTCATCGTTTTCGTGTTTAGGTGCCAGGCCCGTCTTATCGTGGCCTCCCCTTACTCCACTATCCCACTCTCTGGGTTTGGTATCAGTTTTATTAGCGGAATAGTGTTTAGGTGCCGAGTTCGTCTGACCGTAACTCCCCCTTACTCCACTATCCTGCTAGTTTGGTAGATGTCATCTTTGTGGGGTTTGTGTTTAGGTGCCAGGCCCGTCTTATCGTGACCTCCCCTTACTCCACTATCCCACTCTGTAGGTTTGGTGTCTGTTTTTGGTGGAATAGTGTTTAGATGCCGAGTCCGTCTGATCGTGACTCCCCCTTACTCCACTATCCTGCCAGTTTGTTATAAATCCCCGATGTAGTTTAGTGTTTAGATGCCGGGCCCGTAGACAAAATCTCCATTAATGTACCTTTAATATTGGAGTTAATTGATACTGTACTAGATATGATAATCTTGTCAATAACCTGTCACTTGTTGATTGTCACGTGTCGGTAATTAGATTATAGCCGTATTATTAAAGATAAACTAACATACTGGCAACTGATAGGTGTGATTGACAGGCTAGTCTAAACATGTGTAGATCACATGTAGGGGTTTGGGGTAGTCTAGAGCAGTGGTTCTCAACCTTTTTTTTCTAATAGTGAAAAATATTGGAATTTTGTAAAAAAAAAACAAAACAAAAAAAAACATGGCAAGTCATATATGGCATAGATTCGTAGACAGAGACTAGTCATAGAGACACAGCATGACTCAAACTACATAAAGAAATACATATCTATGAACTTATCAGTAGACACCAGTGAATACTCAATTGGGATCATGTGGTTTTTCACATTTTCTTAGTGTGCCGTTCAAAATTTCGCGGCACACTTAGGAAGATCTCACGGCACACTGGTTGAGAATCACTTATCTAGAGTGTCGCACTTCGAGCTCTAGTTGGTCTGTCACCCCTACCTCTGACTTGTGGTCGTGGAAATAGGATCGCCTTCTTAACTTCGTGGGTTTATTACGGGTACCCCAGTTTCCCTCCACAGGAAAGCCCCGCCAAGATAACGAAAAGCAGGACGTTAAGCCTCATTTTATTACCAACAGGAAGTGCAGGAGGGAAACCTATATATAAATACACGCAAATCAAAACTGATAAGACAAACCTGTGGACAAGACAAACTACACAGACATTGTAAGAAATAATCAACAAATATCAAATCAAGTGAACTGATCCGGGGCCCAGTCGTAAGCGTCCTGTTCAGTGCTTGGGGATCACGTAGCTAAGTGGGTAAGACGCTGGCTCGCTAGCCCGGAGGTCGGGTGTTCGATCCCTGCATTGGCCCGAGAAAGTTTATCCAGATTTTCCATCGTGGTTTCCCCTTGTCAGTGATGCTGAACGGAGGGCCTGACAAGGACAGCTGTCTAGTCGTTCGGATGGCACGAAAAACCGAGGACCCGTGTACACATTGGCGTGCACGTAAAAGATCCCTTGGCAGTTGGAATTCGATATAAGAGTAGGCCGTAGTGCCGCTGCCCAGGCAAAATTTCCCTCATAGCACACTGTATGGCGTATGCCCATCTTCATTAGCCCAGTTTAGGAGCAGAACAGTAGGACGTTAAACCCCATTTCATTTCATTTCATTTCTGTTCAGTGCTATGAATTGCTACTTTAAAATTAACCGCTGAATTTCTTCCGTCTTTGACAATAATAATAATGTGACCCGTGCATGCAAAATGAGTCACAATGAGAAAATTTTGAAAATTGAGTCATTGTTATTTTCACATTCTCCACCTCGATACCTTCAAAATAGTGTATGGTTTATTTGAATTTGGCAAAAATTGACTGATCTATATCTGTTTGTAGTTGCCCCAGTCAGAAACGGAGGTTTTGAGAAAAAGCAAGTTAAAGATGTCGATTTGTTCACCGTATATTTGTAACTGTTTTGTGCAATATGTCATTTTATAGGTATTTAGGGGTACTGAATACGACTGTCGTAGTATGAGGGTCCGATCCGACTCTATATCCACCATCTTGATTTTAATTATTGGCGTTTTTCACAGTATATTTGTTATCCCATCGTGTAATATGTTATTTTAGAGATTTTGGGTCGATTCAACGAATATTTGTCATTCTACGCAGGCACTCATTAAAATAAATTTAAATCGCCTGGAAGTAAAATTCTTTACATACCATATGTCATTTTACAGGTTTTCGGGCGTGTTGATATTCGAAAATCGTAGCTTTGTGTCGATTCAACATGTACTAAAATGGATGAAGAGGTTAGTAAATGAAAGCCTTGTTGACGTAATACAACGAAAGAAAAAAATGTGGATTTGACATGAATGTCAATTGATGAAATAATTGTGGTCTTTCTCCGTATTTTAAAACGTGACTGGTGGAGTATTCTCCCTTTAATTACATTGTTGATTTTTCAAATTCGTGTCTCCCCGTTCTGTCATATAAGAAAATGAAATGAAATGGGGTTTAACGTCCTACTGTTCTGGTCCGACTGGCTAATGAAGACGGACATACCCCATACAGTGAGCTACGAGGGCAATTTTGCCCAGACAGCGACGCTACGGCCTACTCTTATATCGAATCCCAACTGCCAAAAGATCTTTTAAGTGCACGCCAATCATCTGTACATGGGACTTCGTTTTTTTGTACCATTCGAACGACTAGACAGCCGTCCTTTTCAGGCCCTCCGTTCTGCACCACTGACAAGGGGAAACCACGCCGGAAAACCCCGATGAACTTTCTCGGTTAACCTGTCATTTAAGACGACTGAAATTGTATTTTATTTACATCAACACGATTTATCGATATATCCGACCGTGCCTTTATAATATTTTATTCTATAACAAAAGGTTGTATTTCATAAAAACGGATAACAGAGATGAAATAATATAAAGGCACGACTACCAAACACCCAGGGGGTTGGGTGGTCGAATGGTTAGCACGTGCGTGCTGTATCATAAGGCCTGTCATTGAGTCAACTGGTGTGGTTTCGAATCCCCGGTCGTACGTGACAAGGAGTAGGGTCGACTGTCCAACCTCGTGGGTTCTCTCCAGGTCCTCCGGTTTCCTCCC